ATTTTTAATGACCACAGAGAGTCAGGACCTCGGTTTAACGTCTCATCCGAAGGACGGCGCTTGTTGACAGTATAGTGTGCCCATCACTATACTGGGGCGTTAGGACCCACACAGACCACAGGATGTGTATAGACATATCCACATATACAAGGTACAGATATGTAAAGACACTTTTTACATTTTTGGGTGAACTGTCCCTTTAAATCCATCATGAGTGTCACATCTGGTTCCAACTGGCATCTTATTATTGTCACACAAATATGAAAAATCAGTTTCTCCATATGTTAAAGTTGTATGCTCCTGTCTGATTGTGGCTATACATGAACAACCATGTGGAATGAAAGACAGAGATGACTCATTGGTCATGCTTGAATATCACCTGTGCTTAGAAGGAAGCCGTGAATCAGAAGTGACCCTTATTAGAAAGTGTGCTGGCTGTCATTCACTGAGAGGGATTACCTCATTAAGGACCACACAGATTTAGCACCACTGCTCTAATTACTCCCCTTTACCTACAGTATCACTATGAGTCATCACTATTGCGCTGATTACCATGTCACTAATGATAGAGATTGCATAGTTTACAAAATATCATCATTAACATATTTGTGAAATATTCATATATCCTGCATACTTTCTGTTGATTTAGTTTCTTTGCCTAACCTATGTTTGTTTTTATTTTGTTAACAGGATTCTGGCCACAGCAGGAGCCCACATGAATATTTCATTAGACCTGCGCACGCTCAGGGCTGTGAGGGTATTACGGCCCCTTAAACTGGTTTCTGGCATTCCTAGTATGTAATCAAACATTATCTTAATCATATCATTGTATCTATACTACATGTGTATGTAGTATCTTAATCAAACATTGTGTTGTTTCATTTGAAACTGCATCCTAATCAGGTGCAAAGTGATAAAACAAGACAAAATGCAACAAGCTACATGCAAGGCATTTTCTAAAAAGTGTCCAATTATTTTGGTAGCTGCACAAAGAAATCTCACTGGTCAAAAAACCCACTCCATGTATCTGTAATTTGTCACATCACACTTTGTTAGAACACAGTGTTATAGTTGTTCTTTTACATGTGGATGCTGTAGTGTTAACGTTTTTCCACATGTGAAGGAATGAATAGTACATTTTGATATATTTATGTGTAGTTGATAGGTTTATTGATATCTATATATATTCATGTTTTTTTAAAGGTCTGCAAATAGTTCTTAAATCCATAATGAAGGCGATGGTGCCACTGCTACAGATTGGTCTGCTGCTGTTTTTTGCCATTCTCATGTTTGCTATTATTGGATTAGAGTTCTACAGTGGAAAACTCCACAAAAGATGTGTAGCTTATTCAAACATTACAGGTAAAGAGGATCACACTCCGACAGACACAAGAACATGCACAGACCCACACATCCACATATGTACAGACATAGAGTACATCACTATATTTATTACATTTATGTGCTTTTCAGATGCTGGGATCCAAACCAAATATTTAAATCTTTTGAATTCTTAAAAAAATGACAAAAAAAATGAAAACAGTATTTCAGAAAATTTTCAGTTAAAATTTTTTTTCTCTGAAAGTTGACTACCATTTAACATCTTTTAGGGTTACAAATAACCCCATGTTCTTAAAGGGATAGTCCACCCAAAAATGTAGACTGTGTTATCATTTACTCCCCCCTGAAGTAATTCCATATCTGTATGCATTTCTTTCTTCTGTGGAACACTAAAGAAGATATTTTGAAGAATGTTGGTAACTAAAGTTTCAGGTCTCATTGTCTTCCAAAGTATTTTTTGTCCATTCAGCAAAAGTCAATAGGACCCAAAACCGTTTGGTTACCAACATTCTTATATATTCCTATAATATAGTCCTTTCTGTTCCACAGAAGAAAAAGTTATAAAGGTTTGGAACAACATGAGGGGAAGTAAATGAATGTTCATTTTGTGAGTGGACTATATACACATGCATGTTATTAAATATTACATTTAAGATTACTATTGACAAGAATACCATCATTGACATTTGCAAGAGCAGATTTGGCAATCCCTCACGATTCCATACAGACCTACCAGTCAGGGGATCGGCTCCTCCCATACAGGAAGTAAACACTTCATCCTTCTGTTGGCCTCTTCTATTAGCTGCATGATAACAAATAGCAAAACAAGCAAACAAATGACACAGATATATTATTAAAAATGTAAAAGTTGAACACTTATACAGTCAGTATGCAATTCATGAAAATAAAAATCTTTCTCATCTCATGCAGACTCTGAGAGAGCAGACTCATCAGAACTTGACTTCCCGTGTGGGGCCAAGCCTTGTCCTGAAAATTATAACTGCACTGGCCCCTGGCAAGGACCCAATGATGGCATCACTCAGTTTGATAACATCTTATTTTCCATACTCACTGTATTCCAGTGCATCACCATGGAAGGCTGGACAGCTGTACTCTATAATGTGAGTTACTCTCTCAGCTGAACGATATGTAGCAGTTTTATTCCTGTGCTTGGAATGATGACACTTCTGTATTATAATCCTAATACATAAAATTATTATCTTATTGTAGTCCAGTGTTGAATCGTTACTTCATGTTAAAGTCTTCCTCAGGAGATCTCACTTGATCATTAATCTACCACATATTGTTGTTAGATGAAACGGGGTCATTAGCTTCTTTGTAGTATTATTATTATTAGTGACTGGTTGTAAAGTACACTGGTTGAGTTTTTGGTTGGATGAGCGTGTCTTTGCTTTCTCTTGATACCGTGGCTTTGGGAGACGTTGATCTGTTGTGTTCATGCAGGCACCTTACTTTTACATTGTTCCCTAATCCTGTTCCTTCTTTTCTCCCCAAAATTAGAACATAAATCATTATAGTTTTGAATGATGAAATTGCACGTATGGTTGGTCCATTTTAGCTGAAATAGTTGCAGTTTATTTTTGAAGAGCTTCCTCTTTCCGGATTCTATCCATCTGTGATCATATTCGTACACTGGTTGTACATACTGTACAGCATGCAACACTGTGTAGCTTTCCCCTGACATCTGATCTTCTTTCAAGCTGATTCAAGCACAGTAACAACTCCCTTTTCATAACAAATCACATTTGGAAGGGTTTGTCAAAGTGGTTTTATCTCCAAACAGCTCCAAGTACTGGAAAATGAGGTGTTAGATACAATCTTTATTCTGCATTAGATTATTGGAGCTTTTGGTGAAATTAGTTTGGATGGTTGACTACTATCATACTAGTGCCATTTATATGCTGAGTTGGCTCTGTTCTTCACTGTCATCCAGTAGTGCTGGTATCTGAGCATGGAAATTCATTTTCTTAGTTTTAATATGTAATTTTTGTGGAGGAGGACTTATTCAGGCTTTCATGCATTTAGTTTGAGATAAAATCTTTATACAACAAAAAGAAAGCTTAGAGACCTTGTTTGAAGGAATTGGAAAGATTGGAGGTGTTACTGTTTGCACCTCTGTTGTTTATTCATGACTTTTGAGGATGAGTCGATGACTACATCGACTGCTTTTACCAAGTGCCTAATGAATTTGCATTGAAAAGACCTGTCAGTCCACTTCTGTGTTGTAACACTGCAACATTCCATTAAAACATAAGAATTGTCATTTTTTATTTTGTAAGGTGACTTTAAAATTTTGATATCTGGTACTTTATGGAAAATCTTGAAAAGCCATGGACATTTCTAGAGTTCTTTTTTTTCTAGTTATGCTCACCTTTAAAATATTTCATCTGGTGAAAATTATCTTTTGAGGGTCTGATTACTTTAAAATTATTTTTAAAAATCATGATCTCATAATTTTGAATGTCTGGAAGAGTCCACAGTGTTTTTAATCAGTCACATGGTGTCATGCGTTGACGTAAGTCATGCTGACACAGACAGAGGTGTTTTTCACACTCATAACTGAGCTGATGCAGCAGCGTCGGGATGCGGGGAACACCCTCTCAGCTCAGCTGGGCAACAATGTCGCCTGCCCACGGAGTGATCACACCCTTTGCACTGCTGAGCAGAGCTCAAAGGAATCATCACCATTACAAGTGCAGGGTTTATGGTTTTCTGACCCTTTTAACCCAGGCATTAAGTAGATTTAGGAGCTACTGCAAAATTTAAATCATAATGTATTATTTTCATTGTTTTGATCACTTCCTGTTTTGTGTTTGCACAGACCAACGATGCATTAGGCTGTACTTGGAATTGGCTCTACTTCATTCCTCTAATAATAATTGGCTCCTTCTTTGTGTTGAATCTGGTATTAGGAGTCCTGTCAGGGTAAGTATTGTTTTCCACAATGGACTTTTAAGACAAACTGACTCTACATCTAACCCGATGTCTGAGCTGACACAGGGGTAATGAGTTTTATCAGAGGTTAATGTGAAATGTATTAACTTCATCTCTGGGGACAAGAGGTAAGATTAAGTTACTACACATTCAGTGGCTTTGTCTGTTTCTCGTTCTACACATCTCTCATTTTTCTGTATTCACAAACACTACCAATCAAAAGTTTTTTGAATATTTTTGAGTTAAGTCTTTTGTGCTCATCAAGGCTGCATTTATTTGATGAAAAATACAGTTTAAACCATAATATTGTGAAATATTATAATAAAAAAAAACTTTTCTATTTTAAAGGGTTAGTTCACCCAAAAATGAAAATTAGGCTGTGTTTTACTCACCCCAGAGCCATCCTAGGTGTATATGACTTTCTTCTTTCAGATGAATCCAGTCGGAGTTATATTAAAAATTGTCTTTGATCTTTCAAGCTGGTTAATGCCACTCAGCGGCTTTTCAAGAGACTCACCGGAGCATGCGCAAGACTGAACTCATACGTCATCAGCCCGGAGCTGCTTCCGTGTACAAATGTTGCCGCAAGCTACATTAAAGTGATTATTACGTTTTGAATATGGATATTTTTCTTACAAAAATGCATGGATTCGCTACAGGAGGCCTTTGTTCACCCCCGGAGCCGTGTGAGATGCTTTTTTTTAATGGATGGGCTCTTTTTATTTAACTTCTTTTGGACTGATGCATGCAGCACCCGATGAGTGGCATTAAACAGCTTGAAAGATCAAAGACCATTTTTAATATAACTCCGACTGGATTCGTCTGAAAGAAGAAAGCCATATACACCTAGGATGGCTCTGGGGTGAGTAAAACACAGCCTAATTTTCATTTTTGGGTGAACTAACCCTTTAATGCATGTTAAAATTTACTTTATTCTTGTGATGGCACAGCTGAATTTTAGCAGCCATTATTCCAGTCTTCAGTGTCAAATGATCCTTCTGAAATCATTCTAATTTGCTGAAAAACATTAAAAAAAACTTAATTATTTTAAACTTTTTACTGGTAGTTTAGTTCCAGTGCAAGCTAAATGTGCATACTTCTCTTGTGACATAAAAGCTTATACATTTGAGTATGACGAAAGACAATACAACAGTAGTGAGACATAACTGAGATTTTATCAAATTGATGACACATACCTCTTTGTCATGTACTATAATGTGAGTATTTGTAAGTTAAATTCATTACCTTAAAATTCAATACATTTTATGTCCAAAAACGTATCAATTTATTGCCATTTTTTAAAATCTGTTCATGAAAAAAAAAATGTTTAAGGGGTCATGTGATGCTATTTTCAAAGATCATTATTTTGTGTTTTAGGTGTAACAGAATATATTAGCATGCTTTAATATTCAAGAAACACATTATTTTTCACATATTGTACATTATTGTAGCTCCTGTATTCCCAGTCTTTCTAAAGCATGTTGATTTCTACAAAGCTCTTTCCTCCAAAAAGCTCAGTGTGCTCGGATTGGCCAGCTGACCCAGTGCATTGTGATTGACCGAACATCACAAGCATGTGTCAGAAATGTAACCATAATCGCAAGCTTCAGCTTCCAAAGCAATTATAAAAACAGTTAATAATGTCGTGAGTTTGCACGACTTGAGCAGAATATATCAGAGTGGAGCGTGACTCTGCCAACAAACATCAACATAACACACTAAAGAAAAAGGAATACATAAAAATGCATCATATGACCCCTTTAGCAGTGATGATGTAATATGTAGATGCCACAAGTTGGTGTGATTTCAACTTTAAAAAATTATGCAAATTGGGATGCAGCCTCCCTCTCTGCCTTTCATTCCTTCACTCTGCAGGTGAAACACTTTGATAAATTAAGTGTGTCATCCCTGTGGTTCTTCTCTGTGTGGGTAATTGTATGCTGTTGGCTCATGTAGGGAGTTTGCTAAAGAGCGAGAGCGGGTAGAGAACCGAAGATCCTTCATGAAGCTCAGGAGACAGCAACAGATCGAGAGGGAGCTGAACGGATACCGGGCCTGGATCGACCGTGCAGGTACTCTTACATACTGAGCTGGCAAATGCACCATGCAAAACAAATAAAGTAAATCAAATCTGTCAAAACACACTGTGCCACAGTATCGCTCCATTCTACAGCAGATGCTCAGTGCCATTAAAAAAAGACACACTTGTGAAAGAAAATGTTTCTATTTTGCAATTTTTTCATGGCAAATTATATTTGCTATATATCAGTGTAACAATTCAAGTGAAACATAAACTAGAAATATATACATTTCATAATGCTTTAAATGACAGCAGTTAAATTCCCAAAACCTAATGATCATGTTCATCAGCATGATTTAAAAATGATCCAGAATGCACTTTGTGCTAGAAGCGGGAAAATCTGAAAATAAAAAGCAGTGCACATGATCAATGTCACAAATTTGCTTGCTTGTTTAGTGATCTAGAAAAAGTGCAAATCTTAAATATTTCTTATTCATTGGTTTCTTTGTTTAAATTTTACAAAATCCTATATAAATTAGATTTGTAAATGCTAGTTTTTCAGTGAATTGCAAGTGTACAACTTGATAAAATTCAAGTGCGTTTTTATTTTGCAGAGGAGGTGATGCTTGCAGAGGAGAACAAGAATTCAGGACCTTCTGCTTTGGATGGTGAGATGTTTGACCTCTTCTGTTTTTCTCTCATTTTCCCACGTAGATTGTGGGATGCAGTTTTTTAATTATGTGTCAGGGTTAGGGTCATATGATTATTTTGAACACACTAGTAAATACCCATTCTCTCGGTCCCAGATTTCATCATTTATTCAATAGCCTGTTCTGGTCCCATAAAACATCACAGGGATTGTATATTCAATAGACTGATGTCACAATAAACAGAACGCCATGATCCTGCTCATGGCACACATCTGTGAAGCGAAGACCCACCACATGACATCCGAACCCTATAGGCGACAGGTTTTTCCCCGAAATAAATTATTATTATTTTTTTTAATAAATGTTGATTGACAGCTTCCAAGAGGCTGTGTGAATGGAAAGCAGGCAGTTACCATGGTGAACTGTTATTTCGATTTCCCTGCTGTTCTGCTGTAAACGTCCCATCATACCATTTAAGATGATTTTCTTAAAAAACT